AATCTTGCCTATACCAAAATTATATAGCCCTTTCCAATTCACTTCAAAGGGAGGAAAATTATGTAAAAATGCCTGCTATTTGCTGAAAACTGCCAAAGATTAAATTATAACTGTAACAACTTAATATATACTATTCTAGTCTTTTTAATATTTTTTTTAATTAATATCCGACATATAAGAACACTTTGTATGCTTTTAATTAAGTTGATTTATCGTTTATAATATGTTCGACCTAATTAAAAGCACACAAAGTGTTCTTACATGTATTTCTAAATTTATTTTAAATTAACTAAAACAACCCCCTTCCCCGTACCCCCCTCCTCCATTAGTATTTCTTCCTCCGACTACCAGAGGCGCCCTTGTATAATAAAATTGAAATGTATTATAAGTTGCCTATCTATTTAATAGTATAAGCCTTTTATCTATGAGTATGGCATGGAGTCCATTCTTTTTCTAGCTAGGTATATTCTTTGGTGGGCGACTAATAAACGAAAATTAAAACAGCATTTTCTTATTTTTCGGTTGTAGATAAAACGTTGTACATCACACGTGTGTTTTATACATGATTACAACACCTATATTACCTATTAGGGTCATTATAATTAATATATAAAGTGTATTATATAAAATTTTTAATTATTTTTGGTAACACATACACCTTGTAAAATTGGAAGATATTTTATGCCAATAACCGTTAACGATAGTTGTTTTTCTTTTCTGTGGTAACTAGGCAATCTAAACGAGTGCAAACACAACAGTTCTTGAGTACTAAAATGCTTAAAAATCGGCAGTGTAGCATCAATAAATGCTATGAATAATAAGTGCCCTTTTCGGTGACTCTTTGAGTATTAAAAAATGTTTAAGTACTTTATATAACAACTATGCTTTTTTATTAACCACAACTTATATCCTACTAACAATGATTCTTAATCACACGTCATTTGTGCAATCTTTGTTTATACCAAAACGATTTGTTTAATATCAAAATATCTCAGACTTTTTTGTTTAAACCAATAAATATTTTTTTTGTAAAGGAAACCGAATGTTTTAAATAATGTTGTATATTTAACGCACCTAAAACTAAATAGTTAGCGATGCTGCTTGCTGGAGTTAGCAGAGGTTCTAGTGTGCCACCCTCTTCCAACTACTTATCTGTAAAACTTGTGAGCATACGTACTACAAAATTACTACTTTAGAGACAACGATCGTATGACATGGTTTATTTGATGAGTTACTCTGAAATAACGTCATCGGCCGATCGCTGTCAAATCTGTACTTAAAATTATGTTTTTGTTCTAACTTATCTCCAACTGAAAAAAATAAACTATATATAAACATAAAAACAATCAACAATTATTCTAGAAAATAACATGGTAAGCTGCCCGGACAATTAGACAGTAGCAACGGAACATATTTAGGGTATATTTTAATGATATACACAAGGATACGGCCGATTCTAATATAGAACGTATATGTGACCGAGAAAATGCGCGAAAAGGAAATTCTTTTGAAAAGAAAATATTCTACTTGAAAGTAAAAAATAACTAATAATTTTTATGCGATTTTATTTTTACAGGGTATTCCGGAAACTTCGGCAGCATATTCTGCAGATAAAAATAAGTATAATAGTTCGTAGAAATGTATGTCCTAAAATGCTTAGTTTCGAAGATACAGGGTGTAGAAGTTTCATTTTTATTTCGATTTTTTTCCAAATAATTCCAAAGTAACTGCAATATTTGGATGAAAATTAGTGTCTGGAAGTTCTTTGACATGAGAAAATGATTTTGATGTTAATGTGTCTTCTACTTGTAGAGGGCGCCCCTTATACAGGGTGTTTCAAAACAAATGCGAAAAACTTCAAAGGGTGATTCCTTGTTCAAAATAAAGGGTAGTTTGCTTTATAAACGTTGGGTCAAAAGTCAACCATTAGGGAAATATCGCGGTAAAAAGATGGCGGAAAAGTAATGTTTTTATTCTTTATCTTGAAAACGAAAAACGATAGACTAATGACATTTTATGGAAGCATTACTGTTATGAAAACATACTTTCTGGTAATTTTCTCACTTTTTTAAAATGAGTGGAAGGTGTTGAAATAAACTACCCCTATCATTCTTGTTAACGAAATTAAAAAAAATGCTTATCAAACACATGCAAAAAAATTAATTTGGATAGTTTAGTTTGTTTAGAAACTTTTTTATCTCTTGTGTTTTTTTGATAAAACTCACCGATTTGAAATTAAAAAATAAAATGTAAAGCATTACATATCAGGACAAAAAACATTTTTAGATAAAGAATCTAGTGGGCTGCTCTAATTTTTTAGGAAAAAATCTAGTCGGCCGCTGTCACTTTTTAGGATGTTTCTAATATTATTTTATTGACATTACTCTACTGCAATACGTTATTATTTAGATTCTTATTCTTATCATTATTATCACTAGATTCTTTATCTAAAAATGTTTTTGATCCTGAAATGTAATGCTTTACATGTTAATTTTTAATTTCAAATCGGCGAGTTTTATCAAAGAAACACAAGAGATAAAAAAGTTTCTAAATAAACCAAGCTATCCAAATCAATTTTTTTGCATATGTTTGATAAGATTTTTCTTTAAATTTCGTTAACTAGAATGATAAGGGTAGTTTATTTCAACCCCTCATTTAAAAGTGAAAAATTACAGAAAGTGTTTTTCGTAACGTAATGCTCCCCATAAATTTCATAGACTATCTCTTTTCGTTTTCAAGATAAAAATAAAAAACATTATTTTCCACCATCTTGGTACCGCGATATCTCCCTAATGGTTGACTTTTGACCCAACGTTTATGAAGCAAACTACCCTTTATTTTGAACAAGGAATCGCCCCCTGAAGTTTTTCGCATTTGTTTTGAAACACCCTGTATATTTTTTAACTGGTTTAAAAAGTAATAACTTTTCCTCCGTACCTGTATAAAACTACTGAGTAAAAAAAATATACATTTACGACATTTTTTATGGTTCTCGAGATATTCGGAATCGAAATTATCAATATCTATCACCATTGACATAAATTAAACATGTTGACAAATAGTGATTAGACTGAAATCATAAATTTGAAATATTTTTGTCAAAAATTCAACAGCAACTGTTTTATCATCATTTATTCCAAGAAAAATTTATTGCTAATTTAAAAAATAAAAAGTTCCCAAATTTATCATTCCAGTCAAATAACTGTCTACTTAACACGTTTATTTTTTGTCAATAATAGGTTCGTTCCAACCCCTAGTTTTAGAACGGTTCTGGAACCGTTCTGAAATCATTGGGACTAGTCTTATCCGCATGCGTTAACTCGGCACTGTTTTTGAACGATTCTAGATTGACAATCGGTTGGAACAGTTTCGGAACCGTTTTTAATCTGTCTTGTCAAAACACCGGTTAAAATAACCTCGCTTTTTGTTTGATGTAAGATGTAAACAAAACAAACCTTAATAATATTCTTCACAGATATTCTTATTAATTGTATAGAACAGTGGAAACTGTAAAAAGTGGTAAATTACTACCTACATTAATAAATAATGTACACAAACCATAATTTTGGTTTGGTTTGGTTTGGACTGACCAAAATTATGGTTTGGTTCAAACCATAATTTTGGTCAGTTTCACTTGATTTACTATTCGTTTTTTTTTTGTTGAAAAGAATGAACTGTAAAATGTTAAACCCTAGTTAAATTAAATTACCCATTAAACTCCAAACAAATCCACAAAACAAAACAGGCAAACGCCCAGGCTCAAATGTCAATCAGCTGATAAAATTTACTAACTGCGCATGTCAGTACAAATAGTTCCCACTTAATGGCAAGTATCGAAATTACGGTTCCGAAACCGTTCTAATAACGATCAGAAAATGGGTTGAAACGCAAAGAGAATCGTTCGAAAACGATCCCCATCAAGGATGGAACGCTTTTAGCCCTATGCGCATGAACGGAACCGTTCCTGAACCGTTCTCAGCGGGGTTGGAACAAACCTAATGACATGTATTGACTATTTCCATTCTAAATATCTTGATAACGGTCGCTTGTAGCGATTTTTACCAAGAGATATTTTTTACGTAAAAAATCATGGAAATGTATATTTTTTCACTCAGTAGTTTTATACAGGTACGGGCGAAAAGTTATTACTCTTCAAAACAGTTAAAACACATGTAGGTGGCTCCCCCTACAGTTAGGAGTCATATTGACATCAAAATCAAATTTATTATGTTAAAAAACTCCCAGACACAAATTTTCATCCAAATATTGCAGTCACTTCAGAAATTATTTGGAAAAAATCGAAATAAAAATGAAACTTCAACGCCCTGTATCTCCTAAACTACGCACTTTAGAACATACATTTATACGAACTTGCTTACTTATTTTTACTTGCAGAATATGCTGCCGAAGTTTCTGGAATACAGTTCGGACCACCCTGTTTATTTAAACATAAAAAACAAAATTTACCAGTTCCTATAAGAAAAAACATATTCGTTTTCAAAAGAACTTACAGGTACATAACAGTAACTATAAAAAAAATCAAACTAAAAGAGTCATTCCGAATTCATTAACATACATACAAAAGAACTGAAAGTTTTTCGTTGAACTTAGATGAGACCCTAAATATTTTCCATACCAAAAAAAAATAAACAAAAATTAGTTTTTCTTTTAAATATACACTACAAAATGATGACTACGTTAAATGTGTATGTTTATTTACAAATGTTTTGGTTACCTTAGTTGAGTTTTAAAGGAACGCTCAGTTCGTACTGACCCCTAACTTTTATCAACCCTCTCAAAAAAATTTTTTTTCAACACCAAATCGCCACATTCAAATATCGTCAAATTAATAAATATATCGATTCAACGTGTCCATATAGATTTAACAGCCAAATTTAATTATATTTTATAAAATGCATCACTACTGACTTTGATATCTGATATGGTGATTTAGGCGTCTTGCGAAAAATTAGGGGCTTAATTCCATCGCATCGAAATTGGTAACTAAAGGTACTTAAAAATACGAGAAGAAAAAAAAAGAAATGCCAAAGTACGTACACAAATAAATTTCAATATTTTTAAGGACCTTTCAAAACAGAAAAAAAATTAGAGACGATGAAGTGATAATTTTCTATTTCGGATGATTCCGCTTCTAGACTGCTATCAAATAGGATCTATCGCTCCCCGTGAAAGTTAAACGTCCTCGTATTTGGCCAATTTGTTTTGGAGCATGAGGTTTTCTTTTTTCAGTCGTTCTAACTCTTGGCGAAGTCCAATATTCTGAAAAAAATAAAATCAAATATATTTATATCTAATGGATGTTATTGAATTTTAGATAAAAAAATATAACGGATGCGCGTGCGTCTCAAAAGTTGATCACCCCTATAACTTTTTTATTTTTTATATATATATATATTAAGCGGGGGTCCTACAGCTTCTGCCGCATCCCGCATTTCGACCTCCATATTGCTCGATTTTGCCTTTCTTCCTGGTTAATAGCTCTGTCTCTCATGTACTGGTCTACTCCATCTAACCACGTAGTTGTAGGTCTTCCTCTTTTCCTTCTGCTTTGGGGACGATACTCCATTGCCCTTTTTGGCCATCTTTCCCCTCCCATTCATTTTACGTGCTGAGAGATGGTGTAGAATCGGGCTGAGTATCAACTCAGACAAAACCGGGATAGTGCCATTCACCAGAAAGCGAAGTCTGAAAAACTTGAAAAGAATCCAACTAGATGAAAAGGAAATACTGCCAACACAAGAAGTTAAATACCTGGGAATAACCCTGGACAGTAAACTCCTGTGGAACAGGCATATTAAGAACACTACCAGCAAAGCAATAAAGGCTCTCATGATATGCAGAAGACTGGCCGGAAATAGATGGGGCTGCTCCCCTAACATTTTGCGCTGGATGTATACCATGATAGTAAGACCCATGATTACTTATGGAGCAGTTGCCTGGTACACAAAAACTAGAGCAACGGACGGCAAGGCTAAACCTATGCAAAGTCCAGAGACTAGCATGCGTTTGCATCACAGGAGCCATGAGAACCTGTCCAACAGCAGCAATGGAGGTCATTCTAGATCTAACACCACTGCACATTGTCATTGGTAGATATGCCAATGCGACAATGATTAGAATGGTCACTAACGGAATTAGTACTGCGAGAATTGTCAGATCAGGGGCTTGGAACACCCTCATAAAGGAAATACCACTCCTGCAACTCCCAGTGGACGATATACCAAGAACGTACAACTTTGAGAAACATCTCAATGTAGTATTAAGCAATAAAAAGGATTGGAAGAGCGAAACGCTTGCCCAGCAGTTAAAAGACCATACCATAACTTGGTATATTGATGCTTCCAAAACCAATACGGGAACAGGGAGCGGAGTGTTTGGGCCGAGAGCTAAATACTCCGAACCAATGGGCACTTACCCTAGTATCCTACAGGCAGAAATCTACGCTATCGAAAGATGCGTACAACTTATCTTAGATAGGAACTATCGGAAACAAGAAATAGGCATCTTGTCTGATAGTCAAGCAGCGTTAAAAGCGATCAACTCAGTATCAATCAATTCGAAATTGGTCAAAGAATGTATAGAGAAGCTGAATAAATTAGGCAAAGAAAACAAAGTCCTCCTACACTGGGTGCCTGCTCACCAAGGGATAGAAGGCAATGAAAAAGCAAATAATCTAGCTAGGAAAGGAGCGAACACTCCACTAACTGGACCAGAACCGTTCTGCTTTCCAAGTGGTAACCAACTCAAGACGGAACTCAAGAACTTGGAAGATTCCATCCGCAACCTGGAATGGAAATCTTGCAATGGTCTAAGACACTCGAAGAAGTTTTTGAGGGCTTATGATCAAGAAAAATCACAGATCTTCCTGGGTTTAAGTAAGAACAATCTTCGGATTGTCACGGGGTTTTTAAGAGGATACTGTCTCCTCAATGAACACCTCAGTAGATTGAAACTAAGAAGAAACGGCGAATGCAGATTCTGTGGGGAAGATGGTGAAACACGAGTACACCTCATCACTGAGTGCACCGAGACGACAACCATTCGTGCCATGAATTTTGGTACGACTGATATTGGAGATGGAGAACTACCCTCTATAAAACCGTCCCAGATACTGGCTTTTGTCAAAGCCCTGGGACTGTATGATGAGTTATGATTCAAGAAAGGGGGACACAATGGATCTGTAAGGTCGAAGTGATTAACCCCCCTCCCACTCATTCTAAATTCTCAATTCTAAAAATCCTCATAAGACGTACGTTCGCCTCTTCCCGCGCTTCAGCTGACAGTTGTGACGTCATTGTAGTCCTTGTCAAAGTCTTCGTGGCCTTGTCATGATAGTGTGTATTATTAGTTGCCTATGGTAAACTTATAAAAATAACAGCTGAGAAATTTTGAGTTAATTATTTTGTCAATTTTAAATGTGAAAAAGGTGTCTTTAAAGTTTTTAGAGCTATAGAGTGTATAAATATGTTCATTTTGTGTTGTGGATTGTGACAAAGTGCATACTAAGTGCCCACGATTTTGTGGAATGGAATATGGAAGAATGCTTGCAAAAGGTGATGCTGGGAACTGCTGTTCTTAAAAATGCATTATCCGAGTATTTAATACAATTTATACAGTTAATTTTCTATACTGCATACATATAAGGTGTTTAAATAAATAAACTAAATAATGAACGTTTTGCATTCGGTAAGCAATAATGCACGTGTGTGTATTATTGGTTGCCGGAATAGGACTAATAACCATGACAAGGACTACAATGACGTCACAAAGCAAGTGGTTTTCGCATGCACCTGGCGGACACTTTTGGCTGAATGAGCAGTCCTATTAGGTTATCTGTTCTTGACCTAATCTAATCTAATCTAATAATACATACCTCTTTCTCAAGATAGCCCGCTCGCAGCGCTATCTGGTTCTCTTTCATCCGCCGCGCGTCCCGCGACCTCTTCGCCGCCAGGTTGTTCTTTCTCCTCCTCGCCCAGTATTTGTCGTCTTTGAGATCGTCCGGCACGAACTGTTTCCTCGACTTTTTGATGATCGGCTGCGGCTTCAGATCCTCATCTGAAAACACCCTTGTCCGTGGATCGAAGTCGCGACAACTCGAGCTCATCGACAGCGCTTCAGAAAAAACTGCATTTTAAACATCATTTAGTATTTCGTTCTACAAACTCGGCGATCTGGTATCGTGCTAGCCTTACTAAGCTTCAACAGCGATCAAGAATTTATTTACACTACAACCCAACCAATCTTATTATCTTAAAATGCAATTTTTTACTGTTCGATGCCGTTTCAAAAGAAGTTTAGTAAGGCTACTCATGTAAATTGAACTCAACAAATATAAAAACATATACCGAAACATCAATTAAAACTAAAATAAATGTGGTACACAAAATGTTAGTTTCAGAAAGGTAAACACTAAACACTAAGTTCAATTTACATAATCTATTTTAGAAATGTAAGTATAAATAAAGAAATCCATCCAACACACAAAAAATCATATTCAACCAAACTTAGCCTCCACCAGAATAAAAACAAAGAGAAAGATTTTTAAATATTGTATGATCGCAAAAAGACGGCGTTACGGACGCCTGGAAAATGACAATCGATCTTGGAATAAGAAGATTAAGGAAGGAGCATAATGCTATCCATGTATTCATGCATGGTGGGCGGAAAAGCCACCATAAAAGCTCTCTAGGGTGGGGATCCTTGACACTTCTGTTTGACGATTCATTTGACACATTTGAATTTGATTTGAAATTTTGTGGATTTGTCAGTCTTTACGGAGCTTATTTTATGTTATTTATTATTTATTCTACTACTGATAGTTGTATAAAGGTAGTAAATCTAGATGGAAATTGTGGCAGAACTTAAATTAACAGTGACCATAGACTTAGAATAAAATATAGACTGAGCATCTCATTCATAAATAGCTGGAAGATGCGGACAGACAACGTCTTGTTATTGTTGTGTTATTGTTTTTGGCTCTAACGAGTGCGACACGAGCGATAGATAGGCTGTCTCCGTCGTAACGGTCGTTTCCTGACGGCTCTGCCGCCCAACGCAACACTGTCTTTTGTTTCTTCAGTGCACCTGCACTCTCCGTATCATAGGCGGGTATTTTTTTTATTTTAATGAAGCTATAATTCAATTAAAAATATATCGTATTTAAACTTTTTTATATTATTAAGATTTAGGATAAAGAAAATAGTTTAATATAAAGCAAAGTTTAGGACTTAGAAAAAAAATACATCTTAGAGTCTAAAAACGATAAAAATAATAAAGTACGTGTTATAGAAGAAATTTTAATAATCGAAATTATTTAATTTTTGAAATTGATGATAAATTATTAATTTAATAAAATATTAATTTTAGTCAAACATTTACAACTCTAATATTAATCAAAACAGGATCTATTCTATAGATATAATAGAACAGAAAGAGAAAAAAACTTTATAATTGTTTAATTTTTTTCCGGTAAAAGTGATGTCTTATTATGTAAATTAGAAAAACAGGAATCTGTTCCATTAAAGCAAGCTTTTAGGAAGTGAATAAAATGAAAACTACATTTATTTAACTCGTTACTGTCTTTATTATAGAGTAAGTATAATAATGGTAATGGTGACTATACTTTATTCAATGGAAATATGCACCAAATTCAAACAAATATAAAAGGCATGAGTATAAACAGTATTACTACAGTAATATTGAACATTGGTTCAAAAATATTACATTAATATAATACAATATTACTGTAGGTATTACTGTCAACGTGCAAGCTTGTTTGAAGCTTGATGTATTTGTATGCGCTTGGTACATCTTGGCGTTGGAAAATGTATAGAAAATTATTAAGAAAAACTAGTACGTAATGGGGGATATCTTGATATACAGAGTGGTCGGAATTGTATTCAGGAAACTTTGGCAGCATAATCTGCAAATAAAATCAGTAAAAAAATAGTATAAATTTATGTCCTAAAATGCTTCGTTTCAGAGATACAGAGTGTAGAAATTTCATTTTTATTTCGCTTTTTTCCAAATAATTTATGAAGAATGTATTGATTAATTCATTTCCAAATATCTTGAGAACTATACTTGTGGCGAGTGTCAACAAGAGACCTTATTAAGTAAAAAACGTTGGAAATGTAAATTTTTCTCAGTAGTTTTATATAGATACAGACAAAAAGTATTACTCTTCAAATAACTTAAAAAATATGTAGGTGGCGCCCCCTATTAGTAAAAGTCAAATTGACATCTAAATCTAATTTTTCATGTCAAAAAACTCCCAAACGCCAATTTTCGTCCAAATATTGACGTCACTTCAGAAATTATTTGGAAAAAAATCGAAATAAAAATGAAACTTCTACACCCTGTATCTCCGAAACATAAAGTAACTAAAATAAAAGAGTGTTTGAAAGGTTGTCTAACTTGGCCATAATGTTGCATAGTTCAGTTAGGGCTCCAAAGCGTCGCCACCTGCTACCTGTCACGTGTCATTACAAGAATGACAAGTGACATGACAGCAAATTGTTTGTATTTTGCAATTGTTTACAATTTTGTTTTGAATTTTGGAATTTTGTTATTATTTTGTGTAGCATAAACTTTGTTTGTTTGTGTTGTGTTTGTGCGTACAGAAATTATGGACGAAGTTTTATTTCCCGAGGAACCAGAGACCTTATATTTCTCTATGATTTGAACTTTATATTTTGTGCTGTGTTTTGCCGTCATCATGTAATATTTTGTTCAACCGATGATGTGATTTGAACACGATCCAGGAAAGGGTATCATGCAAAGCAAGTTCGATATGTAAAGACATTGCCCATCTCTGAACTCTGTGAACGTAAAACGAACTGACTATAAATTTGCGCCTTCATTTAATAGTGTTGAACATTTGCTACCTCAACTGAACTTCAACTGCTGACTGCTGAGTTTATAAATCCAACTTAAAGGTGAATTAATTTTTGATGATGTCTTATTTAAATCTTTATCTGTTATAATAGCATAGATTGCAAACCCTGCGATCTTATATGCTTTGTTAGTGGCGTTGTTAAATACGTTTTATAATACTATAGGTAAATCGAAGGGTAAACCGCTGGTGTATTTTGGTGGTGTACAAGATGTTGGCATTTTCGTGGCATTATTGGTATTAGTACTAAATTATTTGGCATTACTTTGGCATTAGTGTACAGAAATTCATCAGGAGTTTACCCTCGAAGTTAATTCAGCATATATGTTTTATATTATCAAATTTAATTTAGCATTTAACTGTAAGCATTTGAAAAGTGTACAATAGTTTATACTTTTCAAATATTCCGTTTTTAAAATAAACTTTCATTATATTTTTGCAGTTTTAATTTCGTAATATTTTTAAAAATACATAAAATTATATATTCACATTTAAACAGCCCGCCTTTTTTGTGGTAGGCAATGCAGATACCTATTTTACCGATAAGGTCTGTCATATTTCGATTAGTTCAGTTAGGGCTCAAGGGTGCGCTACAATCGATCCTCGTTAAACGTGTTGCCTACTTTTGACTATGGAAATGACAACTCTTTTATTTTATATTTCTCTATGCTCCGAAACGAAGCATTTTAAAAACTTACAAGTTCATTTTTTTAGAAAGCCAATGCAACATTTCTGAGTTTCAAATAAAGATAAAAAACAGTAAAACATATAATAATAATATGTAAATTATTTTCTTGGATACATACATATATGGCAAATAATAACAGATTGTTTTATTAAAGATTTACGTTTTGGTTAATTCTAAAACTATCTTCAATTATATGTGATATTACTTAAGTGATATTACATTATAAAAAGAAAAAAATGAAAATTATACCTTATAATCGAAAAAAACGGCGTCAGCGATGGCTATGAAATGAAGATCGCTGTCATTTTATATGTAAAATTATATGGAGTATGTATCGATGGTTTTTTCCAAGCCAACTGGACGCCGTTTTTTTCGATCATACGGTATTACAAATTAATAATAGATTAACAGTCGAGAAAAAAAAAGAAAAAACTCTAGGTAAGTACTGGATAAATTTTAAAATGGCATATTTATTTTATCTTTGTTTAATATAAAAAAAAACGAAATATCTACCTGGTTTACATAACCCTGTATAATTTGTGAAATAATAATGGACAAAAATGCAAGCGGTAAGAAAAATATTTACAAAAAAATATGTACTTGTTTACATTTCTGGACCATTGTTCGTCATTTTTGTTATCATAATGGTGACCCTATCATAAAAACGTAGTTATTTCTATACCTGATGTGAAACTATAGGGAAAAGTAATGTTTGTAAAATATTTTAGTCTTGAAAAAAAATAAGGAATGTTTGGTATTTTAAAATGTTTGGTAGCTTGTAATTTTTCGACTTTCTCGATTGTTTATAGTTTATAATAAGCCTTAAAATTGTTGTTTCATAATGGAATATCATTCTGGAATTCCTGTATGTTATTTTTAGATTCTAAGGATGGTTTTAGAATAAAAAGAAACACATTTTTCATAAAAAAAAACATTAAATTAACCAATGCCCAAGAAAATAATGTGTCTACTTCTTATGTACTTAATAATGTATCTACTCGTTATATTAATAACGAGGTTAGTAGAACCTTTACGTAAATGATAAATATAAAAAATACAGATTTTCCAGGGTTTATAATTTACTAAATTATTATCTAAATAAGCGCCTTTCTACAACGCCACTGACGCCAAAATAGTAAATTTGACTTACCTGTGGAATGTTGTTCCAGGACTTAAATAGTCCAATTTCTTACAAATTTGGCACTGACGAACCATGTTTTATAGTTTTTAAATAAAAGTAATCAAAATAAACACTAAACCGACACTACACACTAAGAAAATCGAATCCAAAAAAATACAAAATCAAAACATCCAATAAAAACAATAAAATAGCCATGGAGAAACTGTGACAACAAGGTTTTACGACACGTGCTTTACTCTACTATGGCTCTACTACGAGAGAATAAAGAATGAACAGGCGACCCGGCGATTGATGGGTGTTGCCAAATTGTAAAGAATTTGTCATTTTTAAATAGTCTCCGACTTATAATTTAGTAGTATAGGGACTATTTAATACATCTTTCTACTATTAAACACTACTTTATTAAAATACAGTTCTAATATCTCAATATATGTGTATAACAACAAAAAAAATATTAATAATATTTTAGACGTGACAACATAGGCTGGAGGCGAAAGACTCAGACGGCCGAGGTCAGCTGCACCCAGGAGTAAACATGTTTACAAAAATTAATATTGGACCGCGCTTAAATGTAAATAGTGTAGTCTATATTTTATTCTAAGTCTATGACAGTGACACTATCGCGATTTATCGAAAAAGACTCTAAAATAGTTGGTTGTGTAGCGTGCGGTAGATCTCGGCAAAAATTGAGTGAAATAATGGAACAACTTTTCGCTAGTAAGTGACTATATAATATACATACGTGTAGTAAACCGATCATTTATGAAATTCACTTAAATTAACTAAATTATATATTTTTCTTGCATTTTAGCTTTTATTTATTACTTGTCAAAAATTAGATGTCAAAGAATTTAGATACGTTAATTTGACTTATCTGCTTCAGTAGCGTATCGGATGTTTGTGTTAATAAATACTTATTATAACTTATCTATTTTTATTAGAATTATATATTTTATAACAATTTTAATAACTACCAACATTTATTCACAACGTAAAATAAAACAACAAATTATTGAGTCTACCCCACGTCTACCCTACATCATAGTTTTACATTTTTTAAATAAAATTAGAAGGACACTGATAAACCGGAATTTAAGTCGGCCATATTTGAGGCCCATCCCGGTGTACCTAAGATTTTTGATATGCTCCTTCCTTAGTCTTCTTATTCAAAGCAATCGATGGTATTTTGGCTACGTAAATCATTTACTAAAAAATTTACATAAAACTTGTCAAAAGTTAACACTAACTAAGATTAAAAAAGTATAGAACGTTTTCAGACACACACTACACCTACACCATTTAAAAAATTACAACCATCTTAAGGCCAACTGGCAGTAAACGCCATTAAAAAATAAAGAAGAGTACGGGCTAACTAAATGGCGTCTAGAGCATGACCGCATGAATGGTATTTGAGACACAAAATCTAGAAAATTACGATAAATATAGAAATAATAATAATTACGATAAATATAGAAAAAAATGTTTATTAAGAACTACAGAACTACACTGAATTAAAAATACAGAAAGAGTATACTTGAATAAAAGTACTACAATGATGTTGTATGATGGGTAGAATCAGAAATAAGTAATTTTTAAAAGCAGTTAACACAATATAACCACAGCTTATTCAGTATCAGCTGGTTATTTTTGCGTATCCGCGTGTACCTGCTTGGCTCATTCTCGTATGCATACCTGCAGTCAGAGTATCATTCTCAATCTTTTTTAAAGGAAGCTTTAATGGAGCTCAGAACATAACATAAGCGAATATCTAGGTATGTACGCAAATTTATATGCATCAATGGCGCATCTAGAGACTGAGTCTGGAAGGTAAGAAGTCTAGACTCTAACTATTTTACTTGAAAATTTGTATTGAAAGATATTTTGTTATCATTATTGTTGAGGCCTTGACAATTTTTAGTTTTGGGCCTATAACTTATAGGCCTTGAGTATTTTTAAGATAGACAGTAAGATTTTAGATTGTTAGAATATTTTTGTTCTTGGCAGAGACTTGTTGTGACGTATCTGCGTTATTGTATTCTCAAGTTAAAATTGTAAAAGTTAATGTATTTACTTGTTCGGTTTAAATATACATTTTTGTAATCCAGCGAGTATCGAGTGTCTTGATTTAGTTCCAAAAAATTACCCGAACTACGCAAGAGCTCATCCAATTATTGTGAAATATTTACTTTATAAAGAAAAATACTTTTAAATTAAAAAAAATCTTATCGGAATATTACCAAACCTGTATTATAAGAAAATTAAAATTTTTCAACTTAGGAGCAACATATGCCACGCTAAAAGTATTATTACTTAATTAAACAGATATATATTCAAGTGAAAAAGTTACTTAAGCAACTTATCGTAGATTCTAAACACAGGAGATTTTCACAATAAACAGAAATTTTAATTTTTGATCATATTATAGTTCCAACTATAATAGGTAATGAAATTGACACAAAAACTTATACTTATACGGGTGAGTCTCAAAAGTGGCTTACCCCTATAACTTTTTTATTTTTTTAGTTAAAAAAACGAGAATTGGTATGTTAGTATATGACATAAATTAGGATTGATTGACGTATTCAATCGTTTTCGGTCACTTCCGGTTTCACCGGAAATGACTACAACTTTTGATTTTTAAATGACACCCCCGGTATTTTTTTACTTTATTCGATAGAAAATGTCACTCTGAATAGAATAACATATCATATGTCAACTTTTGACATTTTCGCATATGGTTTATTTGAAATTATAACTTGCCGTTCGTAACGAAAATTTGACTCGAAATACCAAGTGTGTGGTATCAAATTATTCGTAAAAAATTATTTTTTCAAATATGCTAATGAGCCACCCTCGTTCCATTTGAAAAAATTGAGATATGATTAAAAATACGATTTGAGCATTTTCTAGCTGGCCAGGACAAATAAAAAAAAAATTCTAGATTTTGTGTGCTTTCTATAATTAACTAAACTCTCCCGTAAATAGTAAATTACATAAAACTCACTTGAGTCGGCAGGTGAGGGGGGATTTATGGTGTCGGGACTCATACAGTCGCTCGGACTAGGAGATCGTTCCCGTTTAGGTACTGGATGGCTGGCTCCCAGAGGACCCAAGGCACCGTGTGTTCCCAGTCCATCCATCGATACGCCATTTTCGGAGAGAAATTCGTCCAAGTCGACGTACTAAAAACAAAACAAAATATGATTACATTATTAATATACAGGGTTGTTCACCACATACGACACGGAATATTGTAGCTAAACGATTAGATTTTTACAAATTGTAAGTTTTGGGTTCGTTGAAGGACTATTAGAGCTACAATTTAAAAATATTTTTACAAGTTAGAGAGTGTCCCAAATAAATAAAAAATATCAAAGTTGTATTTTTTAAATGGCACCCTGTATATTATTACATTTTTAGTTTCTACGATTAAAATAAAGGTAAATTTGATTAAGGTTTATTACACTTAAACCTTACCGTTTTTGAAATATTTTCAATTTTGTGAAATTGCAGTATAAATTTTAAGGCTTCATTTCTCCGAGGGTATCAAAGTTTATAATACTAAATATTTACTGAAGTTTATTTATTGATCAGTTATTGTTTTGCAATAATAAAAATTTTACTACCTTATACCGAGTGTCTAAATATTTACTTTAAATAATTATTAGCTTTAAACGGCAATAACTTGTTTAATTTAAATGGAACACCCTGTATATTTTATGAGAATTAGATGCACAATTTAATTGTCTATCAAATTGTATTATACCATTTTTAACCTATCTCTTCACGCTTCCGTAGAAAATGCATTTTCTTGTAATTTAGAACTCATTTATCAATATACCCATGGAATACTGACATTTTAGATTATTTTTAAAGATGTACCAAATTTTTAAAGAGTACAGATACTAATATTGTCATTATAGTTCGTTTATTTCATTAAAAAATAAAAAAAACTGTTTAAATATTTGTTAAAGAGAACCAATTAATATGATTCCAGTATTCAAACTACATTAATTGACTGTTTGCGTTGATTAATAATAATTGCTCCAAATACTAAAAAACTGAATTATTTATGTGTATTAGACAGTGTGGTAAAAAAACTAACACCTTAAAAATGATATTTCATTTTTTGACAAATGCTTATTTATAACAACAGAGACGTTTATTTTCATAACTTATTATTATATTGATTTCTGATTCAAATCCACATTTATTTAGAATAATTTATTAACGAACACAATTAAATATGTAATTAATTAGTATTTGGGCGGAAATACTGGTGTTATATTTAATTAATGGTATACTCTTTTATAAAGATCTAAAAAGTTTTCTTTTTGCATACAAATGGGCTAGTAAAATCATCGTTTTACTAAAAACGATAATATTACTAGCCTGTACATTTTGTACATTTGTTGTTTTAAAAAGAATCTAAAATGTCAATATTCCATGGGTATATTGATAAATGAGGTCTAAATTATAAGAAAATGCATTTTCTACGAAAACTTGAAGGGATAGGTAAAAAGTTGTATAATACAATTTGATAGACAATTAAATTGTGCATCTGATTCTTATAAAATATATAGGGTATTCCATTTAAATTAAACAAGTTATTGCCGTTTAAAGCTAGTAATTATTAAAAATAAATTTTTAGACACTCTGTATAAGGTAGTATAATTTTTATTATTGCAACACAATAACTGATCAATAAATAAACTTCAGTAAATATTTAGTTTTAAAAACTTTGATAACCTCGGAGAAATGAAGCCGTAAAATTTATACTGCAATTTTACAAAATTCAAAATATTTCTAAAGGTTTAAATGTAATAAGCCTTAATCAAATTTACCTTTATTTTAATCGTAGAAGCTAAAAATGCAATAATATACAGGGTGTTCCATTTAAAAAAATACAACTTTCATATTTATTATTTATTTGGGACACTCTGTATCTTGTAAAAATATTTTTAAATTGTAGCTCTAATAGTCCTTCAACGATGTATAATACAAGTACCTCGAGCGAAATAAAATACTAATCAAGTCACCAAAACACTTACACAGTTCACAGGAAACTTAAAGTCTTTTTTAGATTTACATCATTTTAATTCATTTGACTTTAAGTCATTTTTCTAAAGCTGACTTAAGACCTAAAATTTAAGTCTTTTTTAAGTCTTTTTTCTTTTTTTTTTTAAAAGTTGCATTTCTCCACCCCTTCGTATTCTTATAAATTATCAAAAAGATGAAAAACTGACTTGCATAGGATTTTTTTAATGGAATCCAGTGGCGTAACTAGTTTTTTGCTGGGAGTTGTCATTTTCGAAATATATCCCAAACTTGTTTTTTTTTACGATGTACTTAAACAGCCGCACGGTGGGGTACCAGCATGAAAAAGGTGATCGAAATTCGAAAAACCAAATGTGTTTAAGATTTTCCAAAAAAAGATAAATGATAAGTTAAATCATGTCTGCCATGAATGGCGTTGCTATGGGTGTGTTTAGTTGCATTCATTTGTTTCAACGAAACGTCAAAGTTGTGACTCCTCACAGATAAGAGGTAAATGGCAACATTTTATGTTTGAAATTATAAATTGTTGTTATTCTTGTGCCCTTTTTACGTTTATATTATTGTTTTGATTGAAAATGGCTCAGCAAGCTGCAGGTATGTATTCTACAAAAACGTATTATTTATTTTGATATTCTTTATACTAAAACGATTTTTTTTGCAACTAAAAGTTAGGCGTTCAGAAAATTTGATTAAATTTGTGACATTTTTATTATACTTAGAGATTTAGTTGCGCATTTCGAAGAATCCAGCATATTGTCTATATACGTTTTACTGAGTAAACATTGGGCTTTCATACAGTTAAAATAAAATACTGCGACTTTTTGCGACTTTGCTGATAAAATGAGAAAAACATTCTTGGTTTCCTCTAATTTGCCAATCAGTGATATACTAATGCGAGGTGTAAACCGCGATGGCATTGTTGCGTACAAAGCGATCGCATTAGTGCCATTAGCAGTATAGCACAATTTGGCATTAGTAGCGACTTTAGTTGTATGGGCATTGCTCGCGGATCAGTCGTCGCATTAGTAGTATTAGTTGCGATATTACTACTGGCATTAGTGGCATTGACCGTGGAAACACTGGAACAGTGATTTTTCTTTCTTTTTTTAGAATCGGCGAATTATCCTTTTTTTGTTCATATTATTTCCTCTTTAATTGAAAATAGCAATAATTTATATAAGGTCTACATTTAAAAAAATTTCGATCAACTATCTGTCTCAAATACCCCACTGTGATTGTTCATGTCGGCGGAAAGTAATGCCTAGCCTCAAGCATTCTGCAAGAGCACCTATAGGTCAGTGGCTGAGGCTATCGCTTCGTAAGCGAATGGTCCGTGGTTCAAATCTCACGCCGACCAAGACTTTTTTATATTTTTTTTGCTTATAGCGTGATCTTATTGCATTGGTTTCACTCTTTTTAGTTGGATTGGTTTAGTTATTTGGCGGGTTGGTTAGCGTGGTTATTTGGAGGGTGTTAATTCATTGGTTAGTTGGTTATTTGGTGGGGTTGGTTGATTTTTAATAATTTATATTTGTTTTTTATTTTTTTTATCAGTGTCGAGGTTAGTTGCGTTGGTTAAGTTGGTTATTTGGTGGGGTGGATAGCGTTGGTTAGTCCTTATAAAATTTCTATATTTCATAAAGCCGGCAAGTGCGTCACATCAACGACGTCATACCTATTACGGGCATTTTAGTAAGCTACCGTTTAACGGCAGTTTAAGTACAGCCTTTTTTTTATTGAGACCTTTATTGAGTTTTTTTTTTATTGAGATCCTGTATATTATTTTTTATTTTATTTGCTTTGTTATGAGCGTGTTGGTCGTTTTATTTAAAAAAAAATAATTAGGCACATAATATTCAAACAAAAGCAAACGATGAAAAATTTACAATAATTATATTATTAGAAAAGACTCGCAACACCATCAACTTTTTAACTACAAAATTTCAGAAGAATGTGGGATAATTGTGAATATAAATATACAGGGTAGTCCGAACTTTAATCCGGAAACTTCGGCAGCATATCCTGCAGATAAAAATAAGTAAAAAAGTTCGTATAAATGTATACCCTAAAATGCTTCGTTTCGGAGATTTTCCAAATAATTTCTGAAGTAATGTCAACATTGGGATGAAAATTGGTGTCTGAGAGTTGTTTGACATGAGAAATTTGATTTTGATGTCAATATGACTCCTATTTGCACAGGGCGCCATCTACATGTGTTTTAACTGTTTTGGAGAGTAATAACTTTTCGTCCGTACCTGTATAAAACTACTGAGTGAAAAAATATACATTTCTGTGATTTTTTACGTAAAAAATGTCTCTTGGTAAAAGTTGCTACGATCAACCGTTCTCAAGATATTTAGAATGGAAATAGGCAATACATGTCATTATTGACAAAAAATAGGCATATGTTGAGTAGACAGATATTTGACTGAAATGGTAAATTTGGGAACTTTTTTTTTTTTTTAATTAATCTTAAATTTTTCTGAGAAAAAATGATGATAAAGAACTTTTAGCACAAAAACATTTCAAATTTATGATTTCAGCCTAATAACTATTTAGTCAACATGCTTAATTTATGACAAAGATGACAGGTTTTGATTGACAGTTTTTTACTGAGTTGTTTTATACAGATACGGACGAAAAGTTATTACTCTTCAAAACAGTCAAAAATATGTAGGTGGCGCCCTCTACAAGTAGGAGTCATATTGACATGAAAATCAAATTTGTCGTATCAAAAAAGTTCCAGACACCAATTTTCATCCAAATATTTACGTTACTTCAGAAATTAGTAGGAAAAAAATCGAAATAAAATTGTAACTTCTACACCCTGTATCTCCAAAACTAAGCATTTTAGGACATATATTTATACGAACTTTTTTACTTATTTTTATCTGCAAAATATGCTGCCGAAGTTTCCGGAATACAGTTCGGACCACCCTGTATAATGTGAATATAATATCACCGTAGAGAATACAACTTCATTAAAATAATAAAACTATTCATTATTGGTAAACGGAGAACGTCTGTCAAAATCGATAACATTTTTTATTTTAGTTATAAAAAATGTTTACAGATTGTCTGATGAAAACTTTGAAGCTAACTAACAAATAATGCACAAGATAAATAAATATTTATTTTTACTCAGAGAATATTAAAAATTAATTTTATTATTTATTTTACATATTTAGATGAATATTTAAAATAAAGGTACTTAGGCGCCTCTCATACGACGCGCAGGTTCCAAAAAGAGCGGCAGTTTGTATTGAAATGAAATTTTGTGAGCATATGTAGGATAATTTAGAGCATTTTTTTTTAAATATAGGGAGTTCTACACAGTTGTCCCCAAAAAAAGTTACACATCTAAGTTGGTTTTTTTGGAATACCCTACATATCAATTGATTTTCTGATTCTAGGAGAAAAATAAAGGTGAGTTTCATTAGAAAAGTAATTGCATAAATTAATGGTTTAAGTATAATTTTTTTAAAATTAATAATTTAAGAGTTATCAACAGAAAAATTGATTTTTTATTTGGGACACCCTCTATATTTTTAATTAACTGAAAAGAATTTAAAATTACCTTTCCAAAAATAGAGCACACTTGATATTTTGTTATAATCCCCTTCGAAATACAGAAGTTTTAAAAGTTTTAACTAGTAGGCTTGGGACCCCTTATTGATGATATGCACTTAATGGAACTCGAAAACATATTTTTCCAGCAAGACGACGCGACGCACCGCCTCAGAACGCTGAAGTTATCAGCAAATTTTTGCAGCCAATTTCAAAAATAATTAAATAGCTAACCAAGATCCCAGCCGTTGGCCGTCGAGGCCGCCTGACTTAGTGCCCATGGATCTAATCCTATGGATATATTTGCGGAAGAATAAAGGATCGTTATTCCTCCGTATAATCTAGACAAGAATTAGAAATATTTCGCTGTTATGAGGGGGTATCTTTCACCCTCACTGAGTTAATGAATTCCGCGAGAAATGTTCAAAAACGGCCCCGTCTGTCCATAACAGAAGACGGTGGATATGTCGAACACCTGTAGCAAAATCTCATGTCTTGGTTTGCTATTTATTTTTATTGTTATTAGGTATAGTTTAAATGTGTTGATGTTGACTAAATATATTTTAAATTGTTATAAAATTCTGCATCTCTCATTGCAAATATTATTTTCGTTTTAATTGATGCTCACAGCTAGAATTTTTTTGCATTACAGCCGGTGCCGTTCAAAGCCTATTAATTTAAAGCGGGCGAATTTTTATATACTCTATATCTCGAAGAGGAATCGAGCAAAATATCAAGTGTGTGTTATATTTTTGGAAAGCTAATTTTAAATTCTTTTCAATAAATTAAAAATATACAGGGTGTCCCATATAAAAAATAAAATTTTCTGTTTATAATTCGATAAGATAAGATTGAGCTCCAGACACCGATATTAGTTTTTGTCTATTTCCTATAGAAAAGGGTGTTTCCATTTAAAAACGTCGAATTTGACCCACCCTGTACAGGATGTTAAAACTTAAATTTTTTTTTTAATTATCTTAAATGCCAATTTTTTAAATTTGCTGCAGGTAGCATTGAACATCGGTGATATAAATTTGTTATCAAGTATTTTAATACTTTAAGCCCAAATTAAAATTATATTTTTTAGTGTTTTTTTTTAATGGGGCCATACCCAGAGACGGTGTAATAAATTGGTTTTGTTTGTGTTTTCTTGGAAACAGTTCTAAAGAGGCATATGATACAAGAGAAAATAAGTTGTATATTTAATTGTCTTATCTAAAAAAAAATATAAAAATTACAATAAAAGTCAGTGGCCTACATTTTTTCTCAATTATTTTTGATAATCCATATTTTTTATGAGGGACTGACCATCGCAACACTCTGTATATACACATGTATTACGTAAATAAATCAATGATAAAAAATTAAGTTATATTGTGGTAATTACAGTTGTTTTAAAAAACTTCAAATAACAATAGGCTGTTGCATTAAAAATATTGGTAAAACAGTAAAATAGCTTACTTTGAGGTCTGATTCATAAGTCTTATCCCATAAGTTAGGCCCTAAGAAAGCAGTCTGGGCTTCTACTGTACTCCATAGTTCTCCATCGTCTTTTTTGTCATCTCCCAAGATGGTTCCAGCTAGGTCCTTGATATTCGAATGTCCATGGCCATGTTGTGGTTTACTGTTACCTAAAAATTAATTGAAACAAGTTACTCATTTTACCAACATTACTTTTTCTATTTTCAATAAGTACAAAAAACTTTCTATGTGGGTACAGATCGGGTGATCAGAATAATAACCGTTCTATCAAATACTTTACCGGAAAGTTTGCCATGAACCATCCGATTTACTAAACCTACATAATAGTTATAATAACTTATGTATCCTGAGGATAATAAAGTATTATACACGACGCTATTATTAATATTAAACATATTCGCCATAGAAATAAAGGCAAGATCAATTTTATTGTTTAAAAATTACGGTTAAGTTCTCGTCACCGAGTTAAAATCGATTCTGAAAGAGCTAAATTTGTGTAGGCTATGTGATGTTAGTCGTCGATTATGCTGATAAAAACATAACAAAAGGGGGCGCAAAAAATTGTTTGGATTACCGGACCGATAAAAACTTATATAGTACCGCAGTGAAAAAATGTCTTAAAATATCGTATTCAATACGAAATATATCAGTGGCGTTACGGGAAATAATTACTTAAGATTATGACAATCTCAATAATTGCATTTAAGCTATATTATATTTATTAGCGATTATATCGTTTTATTTGAAAATAATTAGAAAATTAAATACTTCTTATAAGTCAATGTAACTTATAGTTATCGAACTATATATTATTTGAAATGAAATTTCCGAAAAAAACGCTTAAACACGTATATTTTATTTTGTTTTTTTACAAATCTTAAGATTTTTTAAAAATGTATACAGGGTGTTTCATAAAATATGACCATTGAGTAATCACGATTCTGCTTAAACTGCTTCACGTTTAAAGCTGATTTTGGGCAAACGGACTGACTGTGTGGTTTGATAAGGAGGGGTTTCTCGAATCTCAAATTCCAACAGGGTGAAAAAAGGCGTTTTTCTTCTGGGTCCATTTGAACTCTGGGTGGCATTTTTTTCAGCTGGGATCTTATTATCTTATATGCTTGACAGTAAATATTTTCTTGTAAATCATCGCACAGTTTTTCCCATGAACTTATTTTTGCAATTTTGATCTTTTGAGACAGATCCTGCTTTGCTTCTTTGTAGGTACGTTTATAGAGCTCGCGAAGATCAAAACAGTCAACTACTGTTAGCAATTTCGCATAATAAAATTATTGTCTGTGATTATTGTTCGATTCTCGATTATTCATAATGTTCAAAATTCCCGCAAAGCGCTTCTCGCCGAACAAAACCGAACTCTCCGTGTAGGATCCGAAACCTTCCGAGGTTTTCGATTCTAGTTTAAAGCTGATTTTTGGGAAACGGACTGACTGTGTGGTTTGATAAGGAGGGGTTTCTCGAATCTCAAATTCCAAGAGGGTGAAAAAAGTGTGAAATTTTTTAAAAAATCATACAGGATGTTCCAAAAAGTTGGGTAATTGGGGTAATTGATTAACCACGATTCTGCTTAAACTGCTTGACGTAAAAAGCTTATTTTTTGCAAACGGATTTTTCGAAAGTCAAATTCCAACGAGATGAAACTATCCCTCAAATATTACCAAGTTATATAATAATATCGCCATATTGTTTTTTCTCATGCTGAAGAAAATATAATGACTATGTGGAAAATAACTTACAATGATTATCGTAATCGTAGTAAATCAGCCAGGTAGGTAAAAACCCATATAACACACAATATCCGCAGGATATTCATAGAATGTCGGAATGTCCCATTATAAGATCTTATAAAGACATCTATAGGATATCCTCCAGACATCCTGAAATCTTGTAGATGTCTCAAAATAGAATATCCTATGGATATCTCTATCGTATATCTAATGTACATCCAGCTGAGATATCCAAACATGCTCATGATAATAAAATATCCTAACAATATCGTCTAGATACTTAGGAAAAATAAATAATGTACTACTTTTTATATTACATAAAATGCAATAAACCATACAGATAGATATATATTACGTCAAGGCAACAAAATATCCTGTTGGTATCTTCTGGATAATCTGGATATTTATGAGCTTGGCCACTCCCAGTAATACAGAGAATTTAAAACGTCCGCGCAAAAAATTTCCCACAATCCATCTCGACAGTTGTTTGTTTTTGCACCGTGTATTATTCAGTTCTTTGATTTAGTGAAATTCGAGTTGAATTCGGTCGTTTGTCGATATTGAATGGGCTTAAAAATGACTGAAACTAACAAAACTGGTTGAGTTTGACTTAGTTTTTTCTTATACTCATAGTTCTAGCCTTGTACTAGCAAGAAATTCTATTCTAACCTCAACTAATGTCGAAAAACGACGAACAACTCAGGGTCTCACAATGAAAAATTTGTGACAAAATTATAGGTGAAAATTTGTTGAAAAGAGCTTGTTCTTTATCCCTAAACCCATTTTCGTGTTTGATCTATTCAAACACAAATCCTATTTTTGTGTTTAAATTGTGAGTTTCTGGAACGTGTGGTGTTAGAAATTACGGTAAATTATGTTGCCGGGGATACACGGTTCATGGTTTTTAAGGCTGATTCATGGTACACCGTGACGGGCCGGGGCCGTGCGACGGTGAAGGCACGGCCAAACATTGTCAAATGTTATTTATACCTATGCATTCATGCTAAGCCGAGCACGGGCCGAGCTTCGCCGGAACCCGTCCGTGCCCCGTCCGAGAAATGTCGGTGTACATTTTTCCTCGGATCCGCTACGGTCCGGCCCCGTTGCGGCAAACATAAATGAGTCGCCCGGGCTAAATACTTCGTTCATCTACGGGCCTATAGCGGCTGTTTTCTAGCAGTGTTGCCGCACCCAACTTTTAGCGCGTACCACATTATAAACTAAAAATGTACCACTTTGGTACAATTTTTTAAAGCACAACAAAATACATCTGCATATGACTTTAACCGGTTTGGTCGCTGTGAATTTCTTCATAAATTTCTACATAAAAAAACTTCCTGGAGAAAGACACAAATCGAGACGAAAAACATGAAATAGAAATTCAGAAAACCCAATTATAAGTATGTATAGGTTGAAGAATTCTAAGTAATTCTAATACTACACACAATACTTGGAAAACTTAAATTTTATTTAAAAAAAACGCAAATATAGAAGCATGTTAGAAACAGTAAATTTTCAAGTTTTTTCTTCGGGTTATTTAATATAGGCAACGCTATAGACATTACAACGTTTATAATACGTCGTTAATTAATGCGGATTTTCTCCGAATGGTATCGGTAAGCGCGTTTAATGCAATATCAACGACAATAATTATTAAATATCTATTCAATTTCGGTGCGCGTGGGAAATAATTATTGTACCAAATCATCCTGGATTGAAAATGTAGTACCACTGTACCAAATAGAATTAAAAGTATCAAATTTGGTACAAATGTACCACTGCGGCAACACTGTTTTCTAGAATATAATCGGCACGGACATGATCCCCGTTGTCCACTCGGTGTAGCATATATTGAAGGCCCGGACGTGGCCCGGTGTCTACTGCACGGAACGTGCCCGGCTCGGGTACGGCCCGGTGTACCATGAATCAGCCTTACTCGATTCACTGGGGTGAGTTTGTTCGATGGACATAAAGAACCACTGAATTATATTTATTTTACTGGATGACTTTTAATTATTTTTCAATTTTGCTAAAAATAAAATGTCTAAAAGATATATTTAAAAATATAGGTATACCGGGTGCGTCTCAAAAGTGGCTCATCCCTATAAGTACCTCTTTTATTTCTTCAGTTAAACAACGAGATTTGGTATGCTAGTATATGACATAAATTAGGATTGATAGGCGTATTCAATTGTTATCAGTCACTTCCTGTTTCACCGGAAATGACTACAACTTTTGATTTTTAAATGGCACCCTCCGTATTTTTTTACTTTATTCGATAGAAAATGACTTTCTGAATAGAATGACATATCATATGTCAACTTTTGACATTTTCGCATATGGTTTATTTGAAATTATAAGTTGGTAACGAAAATTTGACTCGAAATACCAAGTGTGGTATCAGATAAGATATATTAGATAAGAACTGATATTTTAATAAAAGATTTGAGAGTAGAATTTGAGAATAATGAGCTCTCTGGAAGTAAAGCTATGGTTCTCACTTATGCATCAAATTAGATTAGTGATCATGCAATCTGCAAATGAAACAATTTTTAATTTACACCAATAATCAATGCAACTTTGACTAAAATCACTTGATGTAGGCAATATAGGTATATTACCAAATATCAGCCAAATACATTAACCACCTTCCTTCTTTAAAATGAGCAAATAATGACAAATTACGTTTCGTAACTTTAATGATATTTATGTATGTTTTAAAAATATATGAATGCAGATCAGTTTTTAAATATAGCCATATTTCTAAAAATAGTCAAAAACTATAAAAAACAAAATGAACAACCAAAACAGTCAACTACTGTTAGCAATTTCGCATAATAAAATTATTGTCTGTGATTATTGTTCGATTCTCGATTATTCATAATGTTCAAAATTCCCGCAAAGCGCTTCTCGCCGAACAAAACCGAACTCTCCGTGTAGGATCCGAAAGCTTCCGAGGTTTTCGTGAGTTTTAGTGTTGTCTCTTTTAATTTTGGTATCGTAACAGAACTGTCCAAGTCGACACATGCGTACAAATCCGATCCCAATTGCCATTCTACACCCGACCCGTGTAAATATGTGTGTTGGAACCAGAGAAATAGAAGGGATAGAGAATGAGCGTCAACATGCGCAGAAGGTCTAATCAAGTTGGGCGCCATATTCCAGGTCTTCGTGTCATTTTGTATATAGGTGGTAATCTATAAGTAATCAAATATCAATTTGCTGTTTTCAACCATACGGGGGGCAATTTAAATTTAGTGAAATTCTATCATTTATTATGGTTAGATAACATTAATATGATCTATTTAATTATCATCAGTTTCAAAACTGCGTACAATATTGGTATATAATACACTAAATATACAAATATTCTGACAAAAGACGCTACGGACAGATGACCTTTT